TGGAGGGGGAGGCCAGTCCCCCGTTGGGCGCCCGCCGCCGTTTCTCGGCGCTCCTGGAGCCTAGCCGCTTCAGCACCCCCCAAGAGGAAGAGGATGAGGCTCGGCTGCGCAGGCCTCCCCGGCCCAGCTCCGACCCCCCAGGCTCGCTGGATGCGCGGGCCGCCAAAGAGACACCTCCAGGAGATGGCACCCCCAGCGCCGGGGACTCGGAGGCTAGTAAGTTCCCCCTCCTGTCGCCTTCCCCAATTCCCCAGGGGCCATGTATGAGCGTTCAATGAGCGTGGTTACTGCTTATGCAAGTTCTCCTGTACTCTTCACACTCCAACCTGGGATTCTCATCAACATGAGAAAGACCCCTATTCCATGCTCAGTCAGTCAACAAATGTGTTTAAGCACTTCTCTGTGTCAGGAGCTGTTCCAGATGTATAGGGTACCTGCTCTTATGAAATTCACAATCCAGCGAGGGAGAGAGGTGGGAAGAGCATTGCATGCAGAGGGAACACCATTTAAGAGGGCTATGCCCTTGGACTGACTCCCTAACCCACCTGCTCTGTTGCAGCTGACCGTCCAGGCGACCTCTGCCCACCCTCTAAGGATGGGGACCCATCAGGCCCCAGAGCTACCAATGACTTGGTTCTACGCCGCGCGCGGCACCAGCAGCTATCAGGAGATCCCGTGGTAGAGAAGCGGCCTTCTCGAACCGGGGGCAAAGTCATCAAGTCAGCCTCGGCCACTGCTTTGTCTGTCATGATCCCTGCAGGTGACGCTGGGTCCAACCTGGCAGGGGATGGGCTGCCCCCATTGGTGCGTTTTCCCGGTCCACGGTGATTTGCTCTGGGATGGGCCAATGAGAGCCCCAGGACTTTCACTTGGGAGGAGGGAAGAGCAGACACAGGGAGGGCCGTGTCTGTCTGCCCTGACCTCTGACCATGGGTCTGTGTCTGCAGTGGACCCCCATGGGAGCTCACCTTTGGCAAGCCCCATGTCCCCGCGCTCTCTCTCCTCCAACCCATCCTCACGGGACTCCTCACCCAGCCGGGACTACTCGCCGGCTGTCAGTGGGCTTCGCTCCCCCATCACCATCCAACGCTCGGGCAAGAAGTATGGCTTCACACTGCGTGCCATCCGCGTCTACATGGGTGATTCAGATGTCTACAGTGTACACCACATTGTCTGGGTGAGCAGTCATGGATGAGACTGTATTCTATGGTGGGGGTGGGGAGAGAGAATTCCACCCCGCCCCCCGCCAGCACCCCACACCCACCCCACCCGCCCCCACTCCAAGGGATGAGGGACAGCTCAAACTCTGGAACTAGGCAGCCTGAATGAGACTCCTCCATGACACCCCCGCATCCCGTCACTTTCCTCTCTGACTATCAGTTTCTTCATTTGTAAACTGGCGAGAAAGATTGCACTTTCGCTTGGTGTTATGATTACTGTGCCTACAGAGTTAGGTGTCTGGAACAGAAGCTTAGGGAGACTTCCTTGTTACCAGTCCTGTTAATCCTGCCCCTATGGGGTGCCCTGTCCCCAGCACGTGGAGGAGGGGGGCCCAGCCCAGGAGGCAGGGCTCTGTGCCGGGGACCTCATCACCCACGTGAACGGGGAGCCGGTGCATGGCATGGTACATCCTGAGGTCGTTGAGCTGATCCTTAAGGTGAGTCTTTGGGGGGAAAAGCAAACTGTCGGGGGAGTGGAAGGGAGTGAAGGGTGAGGGGGGTCCCGGGGAGCTGGAGTTGCCAGAACAGCCTCCAGCAGAGAACTTTCCCCCTTTATAACCTCAGAGTGGCAATAAAGTGGCTGTTACCACAACGCCCTTCGAAAATACCTCCATCCGTATCGGCCCTGCACGGCGCAGCAGCTACAAGGCCAAAATGGCTCGGAGAAACAAGCGGCCCTCAGCCAAGGAGGGTCAGGAGAGGTGCGTGGGGCCAAGTGCAGTGGGTGGGGCTATAACCAGCAGGCCCTCTGGAGCATTCCAGTTTTTGAGCAATGGCCAGGGCTTATGTGGGATAGGTATAGGACAGGACAGGAGAAGGCATATTCACAGGAATGGAAGTTGTGCACAGGAAAGGTGGCCGGGGCCACTATGTGTGTGTGCTAAGTCGCTTCAGTCGTGTCTGACTCTTTGGGACCCTATGGACTGTAGCCCGCCAGGCTCCTCTGTCCATGGGATTCTCTAGGCAAGAATACTGGAGTTGGTTGCCATGCCCTTCTCCAGGGGATCTTCCCGACCCAGGGATCGGGAAGACTTACGAGAACACCAGTCTCTTACGTCTCCTGCATTGGCAGGCGGGCTCTTTACCACTCGCGCCACCTGGGGGCCACCGAGTGAAGAGCAATAATGAGAGGAAGGAGAAGGAGGGGCTGAGAAAGTGGGAGGAGTTTTGGGAAAAGGAAGACGTGCCAAGCTCCAAAACTTTGGGAGTAGAGCAGAGCCAGCGGATATGGACCAAGAGGGCACCGTCGAGATGACCCTGCTTTTCTGGATGCATTTAAGAGACTGGGAGGGGCCAGGAGAAGAGATTTCTACCTGGGAGGAGCATACCAGGCCAGTAGAAATAATTTCTTCCCTTACAAATAATACAGAGTTAGGAGACGTGGGTGGAGCCAGGAGAGTTTTCTGTTTTGATCAGCGGGTTTGGCCTGGACAAAGAGTGAGTGGGGATTGGAGAGAGATGCGTCAGGCTGAGGCCAGTGCTATTCTTCCTGCCCTGATAGGTGGGTATAGCTGGAGAGGGAGGGGCTAGAAAGGTGGATGGGGCCAGAATAGGTTCTGTTTGGAAGGATGTTTCTAGCTTGGACTGTGAGTGGTCAAAAAGCAATGGGCAGGCCAGGTGGGAGGAGCCAAGTGGGACAGGGTGGGTGGTTCCAGGAGGTGCCTTGAGGCCCTGAAGTGGGAAGAGCCGGGAGCTCTAGAGTCTGGTCCAGGGAAGCTGGTTCCCTCCTTGTCCTCTAGCAAGAAGCGCAGCTCCCTCTTCCGCAAGATCACGAAGCAGTCGAACCTGCTGCACACTAGCCGCTCGCTGTCGTCGTTGAACCGCTCGCTGTCGTCCAGCGACAGCCTGCCCGGCTCGCCCACGCACGGCCTGCCGGCGCGCTCGCCCACCCACAGCTACCGCTCCACGCCCGACTCCGCTTACCTAGGTAGACCCTGCGCCTGCGCGGGGCGGAGGGGGGGGGGTGGCTTGTGCGGGCAGGGCAGTGCCCGGCGGCGCCCACCCACTTCTTTGCCCTCTCTCGCCCGCCCGCAGGCGCCTCGTCCCAGAGTAGCTCGCCCGCCTCGAGCACGCCAAACTCGCCGGCGTCGTCAGCGTCGCACCACATCCGGCCCAGCACGCTGCACGGCCTGTCGCCGAAGCTGCACCGCCAGTACCGCTCTGCACGCTGCAAGTCGGCAGGCAACATTCCGCTGTCGCCGCTGGCGCACACACCATCCCCGACACAGGCGTCGCCGCCGCCGCTGCCGGGCCACACGGTGGGCAGCTCGCACACCACGCAGAGCTTTCCGGCCAAGCTGCACTCGTCGCCGCCGGTGGTGCGCCCGCGCCCGAAGAGTGCCGAGCCCCCGCGCTCGCCGCTCCTCAAACGGGTGCAGTCGGCGGAGAAGCTGGGAGCCTCGCTGGGCGCCGACAAGAAGGGCGCGTTGCGCAAACACAGCCTCGAGGTGGGCCACCCGGATTTCCGCAAGGACTTCCACGGCGAGCTAGCGCTGCATAGCCTCGCAGAGTCGGACGGCGAGACGCCCCCTATCGAGGGTCCCGGCGCGCCCCGACAGGTCGCCGTCCGCCGCCTGGGCCGCCAGGAGTCGCCCCTGAGCCTGGGTGCGGACCCGCTGCTGCCCGAGGGCGCGCCCAGGCCGCTGGCATCAAGTAAGGAGAAAGAGTCCCCGGGTGGCGCCGAGGCCTGCACCCCGCCCCGCGCGACGACCCCTGGGGGTCGGACCCTGGAGCGGGACGCCAGCGGCGCGCGACACCAGAGCGTGCAGACCGAGGACGGTACAGGCGGGACGGCCAGGGCCGTGGCCAAGTCCGCGCTGAGCCCGGTGCAGGAACACGAGACGGGCCGGCGCAGCAGCTCCGGTGAAGCAGGCACACCCCCGGTGCCCATTGTCGTAGAGCCCGTACGGCCTGGGGTGAAAGCTGAGGTGTCTCAGTCCCCGAGTGTGCATACCCCGAGTGCGGACTCCAAGGCATTGCCCGAATCTGCACCCCTGGCGCCTCCCCCACCTGAGGCCCTCCGGGGCCGGGAGCGCTGGGTGCTGGAGGTGGTGGAGGAGCGGACCACACTGAGCGGGCCTCGTTCCAAACCTGCCTCTCCCAAGCTCTCCCCAGACCCCCAGACCCCCTCCCAAGCCCCAACAAAAAATGTGCCCAGCAGTGCCGGACCCCCAGCCCCACCTGCTTCCCTGCCGGGCCCGACCAGGCCTGAGGTGGGGCCGACCTCTCGGTGCCCTGCTGAAGCTGTGCCCTCAGCAGGCCTGACCAAAAAAGGGGCGCCCTGCCCCACGCCCCCAGGCCCATAGCAGTGGGAGCCGCTGGCCCCGCGCTGTACAGCCGCCTGTATACATATGTACACATATAAATAAAGTGCACCCCTGCTGTGTGAGCTTTCTGGAGCTCCCCTCCTCCCCTAGCAAGGCAGGACATCCTGTTTCCACCCCCTTGCCTGTGTGCTTGTTAAGGGGTGAAACTTCCTCCAGTCCTAGTTACCATAAAGAGGGGAGTTAGGTCTTGGGTGGACCCTTACTTGGGGTCCTATTCTGTGTGTCACCTATGTGCCAGCTGCCCCAGACCCTGAGCAAGCTGCAATGCTGTTCAGAGTCCCATTACCCAGCTGAAGAAAGATGAATAGTCCATTTACCAATTTCTCAACAATTACTCAGCAATTCTGAGTAAGGTGTTAAAATGATTCCCATTGTACAGATGAGTAGACTGAGTCACAGATTAAGGCACATGATTAAGGCCAAACAAATAGGAAGGGACAAAATAGATTCAAACTCAAGTCCACATTGGCCCCTGAACCTTAGCTCTTATATGTCCTGCTGGGCTTCCTAGAGAGAAGACCCTGCTCTTCTTTTTACAGGGCTCCCAGGCCTTCACCAGAGGCTTGAAGGCCTTCCAGAGCATCTGGGCACACAGAGTGCCCCCACCCCGGTGCTCCTCTCTTTGGTTCCGATTCATGTCACCCACACAGGCCCAGGGCCCTTTTGGGGTTACACACCACTTGGAGTGGTCTTCTGTGGCATTGAAGGCTGGCCCAGCTGGCCCAGGGAAGGCTGTCTGAGTCACATCAAATACATGCTGGGCCCCAGAGCAGTTGGAGGGCAGGATACCGGGAGATCTTTGCCAGAATTGGACCTGCAGGGTACTGCCAAGGGCTTCCGCCAGCCAGCCAGAGTACAGGTCTGCAGAAGGTGGAAAGAGGACATGGACAGGGTCAGGATCAATGCTAGGGATTCCCTAGGCCACTTCCCCTCTCTGAGCTGTTTCCTCAGTTGTCAATTCCTGGCGATCTGGAGGATTATAACATTAAGAGTAATAGCCCTTATGAAATGCTTTATATGTATCACTTTGCACACAGCAGCCCTTTCAAGTAGATACCATTACTATTCCCATTTTTCAGACAGGTAAGTTGTGACCCTGATTAAATCATGTATCACACAGCCAGAAACCAATACCTGAACACAGGTATGTTGGTTGTTTACCTCGCATGTGATTATGACTCAGATGTGTCCTAATCCCTACCCATGACCTGCCCATAGCCATGGACACACCAGACAGCCCCTCTGCAGAGAAAGAGTTCTCCAAACATCAACCTCAGGCCTCACCGTCTCCAAAGTTTCCAAATTTGGCAAAGCTCTGGAATGTGGCTCCTTTCTTTGATGTGAGTGTTACACTGCTGTTCCACGGTCCCTGGCGAACGTGATGGCCCTCGACTACCTCCTCCAGGTAGGGGAATTTCTGGGCGAAGTCCCCTTCCAGCCTGTGGTCATACACCAGCGGGTAGGTATAGGTCAGCTGTTTGCCTGGAGGGCATGGGGAGAAGAAAATGAGGGACTGTTCTAAGATTCCGATCTGGGAATCAGGGACTCACCCTGCCTCCCTGTCTTCACTCACTGATATCCAGGAACTGGGCAAGAGGAAAAGATACACAGATCAGGGTCTGCCCATATTTTTGGGCACCAGGCGGCCAGCTGTATGCAGCAGAGGAGGCATGCGGAGGGAAGTTCGGAACGCTGTGGATCAACCAGAAGCCCCCTTCTTGGTCCAGGAGCAGCACACCTGAACCAGAAATTGGGAGTTGATGGGGGGAGGAGACTGCTTGAGACATCGCACACAACAAGCACATGTGCAACCAGGAACACTCTGTTTATAGGGGGCCTGGACTGCAGGACCAGCGGGCAGTGGGCAATGAATGTCAGGACCACTGCCAAGCTCAGCTTCCACAGCCATCAGTTCTTTTAGTTCAGAGGAAGGAGCACGTTGGTTTAAGATAGGGAAACAGACATCCAGGGCCTGGCAGAGCAGCTCACCCTCAGCCCCAGGCAGGCCAGGAATGAGCTGAAGAAGACGCATAGGGAAACCAGAACCCTCCCCCAGCCCCCAATGTGGCCTCACCCTTCGTGTGCCCACGACTGGAAGAGTCCTTAGACTCGCTGGATTTAGGCGGTTGGTCATTGTAGAGCACAAAAGCGAGCTGGGGAAGATGGACAGGGGCAACGTGAAGCTTCCCGCAGGTCAAGCCCACCCTAGAGTCCCACCCCAGGTTCGGCCGGAGGCGTCATCACCTGGCTGTTGTTGCTTCGGTACAGCGGCAGCAGGCTGCGGCCCACGGCCCCGTTGGTGCTGTTGATGAACCCCACGCCGTCACGCCAGTCCTCTGAGTCTTCGTCAAAGTACTTGTACCGCAGGCCGTTCTGCGTCGCATCTCCCGACCCTGTGTGGGCCGGCAGCTTGTAAACGACGAACCTATAGGTTGGGGGATGGACAGAGTGGAGGAAGAAGGGAAGGAACCTGTTTTCTCCTAGGAGTGCAGCAAGCCCCAGTGCGGCTCTGAGGAATAGTGGGCGCCCGCGCACTCACCAGTCCACAGGGTGCCCCGAGTCCCCGTAGCAGGTCAGGGTTCCTGCAGGGACCCAGAGCAGCGCGGTCAAAAGCAGCGAGCTCAGCATGGCCATAGAGCTGGGGTTTAGAAATCTGTGTCAAGAGGGCAAGGCGCGGGGTCACGAGTTGGGACAGGCCCGCCCCTGATGACTTTCACTTCCCCAAATCTGCCTGGGAACCCAACTCCAGACTTCAAGAAGATGGAGACCCCGCCCGCGGGGTGAGAAGCAGAGATTTTTAAAGGCAGTCAAGGATCCTCCCAGGGGCTGGACTTTCTTCCCGGCCGTCACACCCATCTAAGTCCGCCCCCGATCCGGCTAGCCTGGGGCCTCCTCCTGCTTCCGGCCGACTAGTCCCTGATAGGCTCCACCCTCTGGCTCGGCTCAGACACGCCCTCTCCAGCGTGTTTCCAGCGTCCGCCTCCGACTCTGCTCCTGGCCAACCACAGCTCACGTCCTTCTGCTAGGCCCTGCCTCCGTCTCTTTCAATTCAGGCTGTGTGTGCTAGCTTAGTCGATCAGTGGTGTCTGATTCTTTGAGACCCGGTGGACTGTAGTCTGCCAGGCTCCTCTGTCCATGGGGATTCTCCAGGCAAGAATACTGGAGTGGGTTGCCATGTCCTGCTCCAGGGATCGAACCCAAGGATTGAACCTAGGTTTCCCGCATTGCAGGCGAATTCTTAACCATCTGAGCGACCAGCAAGCCCCATTACCGGCTAATCCCAATGAACACTCTTACTTAACGGTGCTCCTTCCCCGGTTTATCGGTCAGAGGCAATTTTGGACTTTATCCTTTCCTGCCTTACAGCCTGAGGTCCACTTAGTGTGACTTTTGCTCCTTTAAAGAGAGCTTGTGCTGTTGGTCTTCCCCATTTTCATTCTGCATGTCGCCCCACCCTCACTCCGCCACCGTACACGAACTAGCCAAGGGGTCACTTTGGATCATGGTAAGGTGAAGGATGCTGGGGCTCTGGGACCGAGGTGAAGATTCCTTTAAAAAAAAATTATTTATTTTGGCCACTCCACGGGGCATATGGGATCTTAGTTCCCCAGAGATCGAATCCGTGCCCCCTGCAGTGGAAGCACAGAGTCCTAACCACTGGACCACCAGGGAGTTCCCTTAGGATTCTTAGTGGAGGAAGAAGATTCTTAAGTAGAAAAGAAGGTCCCTGTGAATGTCCCTGGGCTTCAAGGCAGGAAGCAAGGACAATGTAGCCTGACCTTGGGGTAGGGGAAGGAGGGGCTGCAAGGCAGTCAGTGCCCAAGGAAGGTTGCCCGGTTTTAGGAGATAAGTGTAAATGTGTGTTGTTCAATCGCTAAGTCGCATGTGTATGGACCCGCAATATCAGCTCTGGGGTTACGGCTTCTTCCCAACTACCACAGCCAAAATCCACAAATTCAGGCCAACATAAGTTTTATCTGGGAGGGGCATTTTTACAGGACCCATAACCATTCACAGCAATGCCAGCCTCTATGTGGAGTTTCAGGTGTCACAGTGTGAAGCGTTCTTCTAGAATCAGGGTCTCTGGGATGCCTCACCCGCTCACTGTCTAGGGTCACCTGTGAGCTGGTTTGATGGTCCAGCTCTCTGAGAGTCTGTCTCTTTGTCAGAAGTATCTGAGTATCCATTTGAGTCCGTTTATTTGGAGGTGTGTCTTGCTGGGTCTACATGATCGTGGCTGTCTGTGGCCGAGGACCTGTGGGAACTTATGTTGGAGGCTCTCCCGGGTACGTCTATGGGCCAGTCCTTGATCTTTTGCTACATCTGTGGGGCCTAGAGTCCAGATGAGGATTCATCCGAGGGAAAACCACCCTGCGTGGATCCACTCTTGTTCCAACCCCAGTCCCCAGGAAGGTCCAAGTGCCAGAGGCGGGGCTCAAAGATGACGCTTCATGTGCAAGGCCAGATGATCGGAGCGCGAAAACGCACGTGAACAGAGCTGGCAGCGGAAGGGGCGCTGTCCTGTGTGCTTTCGGTAGTGACGGGTCAGCTCGTCGGAGCGCGCGAACCGCCAGCCACAGCCGTCCCACGTGCAGGCGTATGGCTTCTCCCCTGTGGAGATGAGGAAGCCTTGAACGCCAGTGTCCACCACACTTGGTCCCAGGGTCTTCCCTCCTAGCCTAGACGGGGACTGCGTGCATGCTAAGTTGCTTCAGTTGTGTCGGACTCTTTGAGACCCCATGGACTGTAGCCCGCCAGGTTCCTCTGTCCATGGGATACTCCAGGCAAGAATACTGGAGTGGGTTGCCATGCCCTCCTCCAGAGAATCTTCCCCATCCAGGGAATGAACCCGAGTCTCATGTCTCCTGCATTGGCAGGCGGGTTCTTTACCACTAGCACCTAGGGTGAGGCCGGTGAGGTGCCAAGATCGTGAAATTTAAGGAGGCTTTCACTCTCGGGGACGGCCTGAATCTACACCCAGAACCGACATCCAGGACCTTCTGTGCCTCTTCTGTACCTGCTGGCGCCAGGCGCCTTTTCATTTCCGGGGCACAAGTCGCGCTGTCTATGCGGCTGGCCCTGCTTCCTGTGTCCTCACGTCCTGCCCCCGCGTACTAATGCCCTCCCAGTTTTTGTCCTTTGGCACTGCTCCCTGTGTTCCAGGCTCTTTACTGTACCAGGGGACCCTCCAGCTGCTGTTCAATCCTGTTGTTGGCCTTGATCCTTGAGCCCCGAAATCCATTTGGTGTCCCATGCCCTGTCCCGGGTGATTACTTTTTCCCTCTGCTAGACTTGGCCCCTCCTGCCTACCGTCCTGGACAGGTCTGTACACGTGGCCCCATCCCCCTAGGCACAGGCCTCCTTCCTCCTCCTCCTGGCCCTCTATTCCATGTCCCCGCCCTCCTTTGGCTCCTTGGGTCCCCGGCTTTTCCTCCTGTGCCCACCCTCCTCCGTTTCCAGCTATTTATCTTCAAACTCCAGGAACTGCCTCTGCATCTGGGCCCCTCAAACTAACCCTCCTGAGCTCCAGCACGCCCCCTACAGTCTGGCCAAGCCGCTCCCTCTTTATATTCCTGGCTATGGCCCCTGAAAGGCTCCCAGGTGAAAAGTGAGTTAGTCGCACACTTTTTGTCTTTGCGGTCCCCTGGACTGCAGCTTGCCCAGCTCCTCTGTCCATGGAATTCTCCAGGCAGGAGTATTGGAGTGGGTTGCCATTTCCTTCTCCAGGGGATCTTCCCGAGCCACGGATCCAACCCTGGTCTCCTGCATCGGCAGGCAGATTCTTTACCAACCGAGCCCCAGGTGGCGCAGTAGTAAAGAATCCGCCTGCCGATGCAGGAGACGCAGGAAAGGCGTTCGATCCCTGGATCCGGGAGACGCCCCCCACCCCCCAGAGTACAGTCCATGGGGTGGCAAAGAGTCGGACACATCTGAGCACGGCGGCCCCTGAACCCCTTACTCCCACTTGCCCCAAACCGGAACCCTGCGTCTTTGGCCCCGCCCTTGGTATTCCGGCTTTCTCTCCCGCGGTCCCTCCTCTAGCCCCGCCCCTACACAGCTTGCCGAGTTCTCTGCTTTTCGGCACTTCCTTGGTCCAGGTCTTAGCCGTTGGTTCCCTGAAATGCTTTCCGGGTTCTCTCTCTGTCCCCACCCGCCTTCCCCTCTGCTCTTCGGCCGGCTCCTGATGTTCCAAGCACCCCAGCTCCCTCGGCGTAGCCCTTTGCTCCGAGAATTTGCTTTAGCTCCTCCCCTTGCTCCAGTTTCCAGCTCCTCGACAGCTCCCAGCTCCCAAGGCCCCGCCCAGCTCCGCCCCTGCACCGGGGCCCTCCCCCTCACCTGTGTGCGTGCGTAGGTGCGCCTTCAGGTGAGAGCTTTTGGTGTAGCTTTTGCCGCACCCCGGGTGCGTGCACGTATGCGCAGCCTGCCTCTTGCGTGCCCACGATCGCCGGCTGCGCTTGGATGGCGCGGCCTCCGCGGTCCCTCCTGGGTCTCCTGTAGTCCCCCCGAGTCCTGCACCCGTCGTCCCGGGCCCTAGACAACTCAGGAAGGAGTGGGGCGAGGCGGGACCGGGTGCCGGCGCCTGGAGCCCGCGGAAGAGCTGGAAATGCCCTTGGTACTGCGGCATCGGGTACAGCGCCGGGTACCCGGACAGCAGCCCGTAGGGGGCGCCCGGCGCTGCAGGCACTGAAAGACCCGTCCTCGGGAAGTAGCTGCCGGAGGAACCCGCGCCCGGTCCCGGGTACAACGGCTGCAACGGCAGCGCTTTGGGCTCGGGGGTCGGGATCAGGGATGGGCCCACAAAGGTATCGGGAGCCGGGGTTCGTGGGGCCGGGCGCGCCCAGCCCAGGTGCTCCTCAGGGCCCAAGAGCCCAGCCACCAGCCCCGGGCCGCCCGCATACGCGCCCAGAGTCTCAGGCGGCGGTGGGAATTGCGCTCCGGAGCCCTCGCCGGGCGCCAGAGCGCAAGCCTGAGGCGCGCAGGTCTGGGGCGCGCCGCCGGGCTCTGGGCACGGGAAGTTGGTGAGAAGGAGATCCAGGTCCCAGGGGGTAGCTGCGTCCCTGTCATCATCTTCGTCCTCCCCAGGTGCGTCCTCCAGCTCAGGTCTCACGTCGAGGGGTGGCCCAGTATGGTCGGGGGGGCCCGGGCCCAAGTCCTGCACGTCTTCAGAGCGCCACCACTGGGGGAAGGAGCCAGTAACATGGAGCTTCAGTGGACACCAAGGTATCCTGCCCATAGACGGTGGGGGCCGGATGCCCTGATGGGGGCAGGCTGGCCAGAGGCTCAGTAAAGGGGTCTTGTTTGCTTGTCTCTCATGTCAGTCTGTCCCATTCCCTCACACTTGTCCGTCTCCCCCCTCAGCCCCCCCAGCTCCAGAGACGGTCTATCGGGTCAGGCTGGAGACAGGAGATAAGGCTTATATTATCTAGAGTCTCCTGCCACGCTCAGCCATGGGGGAAGGGTTGGCAGAACCAAGAATGGAAGGCTGTGGGAGGCTCAGCCTTGCCTCAGTTTCCCACAAGAATCTTCCTCCCCTTCCAGGTCCCCTAAGATTAATTCCTGGGTGTCCCCTAGCCACAGCTGTCATTTCCCTCATATCTGGGGGTGTCTCACTGAGCCTAGATCCCTGCGTTGTTCTGTTCCCAGCCTGTCTTCCAGGACAGAAATAGGACCTTAGACCAAGTTCAGACCCCTAGCCTGCACTGAGGACTCCCGGTCCTAAGCTGGGCAAGATGTGAATTCCAGGAGAAGATGCAGACCCGGTCCCCCAGTTCTGTGGCCAGGGCCCAGAAGTCCTGCCGGCCCACCTAGACCCCCACCTGACCCCACCTTGAGGATGTCTTCTTGTGTGTCCGAGAAGGGGCCCAGGGCGGTCAGCGTGCTGATGGAGGGCAAGGCGGTCTCCGCTGCAGCCATGGCTGGCTGGTGCCCACCCTGGGGCTCAGGCCTCCTCTCCCTTGGCGGCCTCGTGGGCTCTGAGGCTCTGATGGCCCCTTGGAGGGCTCCTCTCTGCCCTCAGCTGATTGGCTGCAGCCCCTGATAAGGGACAGGCGAAGGCGGGGGTCACCGTTTCTGGGGAACAGACTTCACCCAGGCCTGTTCGGGGCTGAGTCCTGAAGCTGAGCCTGTATGCGAAGCCAATCAGATGTTCAGAGTCTAAGGGTTCAGGGGATGGGGGTTCAGGAGATGGGGGTTCCGGGGTTGGGCAGAGTGAGGCACTGTGTTCCCAAAGAAGGAGAAACTTGGGGGCCTGTTCTCAGCTACCTTCCTGGAGAAGAGGTGATGGGCACAATGGGGATTCTGGGAAGGAGCTTCAAGACCCCCTTGCCCCTGACCAGGGCCTTGCAGCTCTCCCCTTCCCCATAAACAGCAGCCACCATGCTGATGGCGGGACTTGGCATGAACTCCCTGCCAAGCCAAGCATTATCAGACTCCCCAGACGTTGGAGGCTGCTATCAGGTGGGGGCCCAGAACAGCCAAGGCTCTGTCCCCGGTGAGTGGGAGGGCCGGGGGCTGGGGATTAACTTGGTTTTCAGTTTCCTGGGTTATGAACTCCCCAGGTCTGAGCCCAGTGGCAGGAGAGGCCCCTGCCAATCAGTGGTCACTGTCTACCATGGACAGCCCCACCCCCCACCCTAGGTGACATGCAGGGGGTGTGGGGAGGCTGAGGCTGGTGCAACTACAACTGCTCTAGATGGGGCCTTGGGACGAGGAGGCCACCTACTCGCCTGGGTGGGATGGGACTGTTGCTTCAGGCCATAGGAAGTACTTGATCAGGAGGTGACCCGATTGCTGCTCCCTTGTGGCTCAGCTGGTGAAAAATCTGCCTGCAGTGTGGGAGACCTGGGTTTGATCCCTGGGTTGGGAAGATCCCCTGGAGAAGGGAAAGGCTACCCACTCCAGTATTCTGGTCTGGAGAATTCCATGGACTATATAGTCCATGGGGTTGCAAAGAGTCGGACATGACTGAGCAACTTTCACTTTCTACCCCACAGTGGGGAGAGATCTAGGTTCTTGTACCAGAGACCTCCACCATGGTGCCCAGGGATTCCAGGTGATGACACAGATATATAGTTCATAGTCACACATACACATTATGCAATTGTATAATGACACAAATTCCTGGTCCCTAAGTCACACACCCCATATAAGTCCCTGCTCTGATAATTGTATGTCTGTGCATCACAGAGACTATGAACAAACATACAATTCCCAGGTGCAGAGACAACCATCTACTACATTGTTACACAACATTATAGTCATACACTGCCTCAGACATAGAATTCATGATCGGGTGCTGACAATGACACACAATTACTCAAATCACACACAATCACACACTTGGTTTTGCCACAACCAAACAGATCCCTGGAGATCCCTGGATATACTGTTACAGAACTAGAGAAGATGCTGCCACACAACCCCATCAAACACAGATGAAGCCTCAGACGCAAAAGTGTAAAACACATCTACAAGGCTTTCCCTGGTGGCTCAGTGGTAAAGAACCCACCTGCCAAAGCAGGAGACACAGGTGAGATCCCCCATGCTGTGGAGCAACTAACATGCGCCACAACTATTGAACTTGTGCTCTAGAGCCCAAGAGCCACAACTGCTGAAGCCCAAGCACCCTAGAGCCCGTACTCCAAACAGGAGACGCTACCGCAACGAGAAGCCCGCGCTCTGCAACTAGAGAGTAGCCCCTGCTCCCTGCATCTAGAGAAAAGCTGGCACAGCAACAAAGACAGTACAGACTAAATAAATAAAAGTATTAAAAAACACATCCACGCAACCTTTCATAAACACTTCTGATACAGTCAGGCACACTGTTATACATCAGGTGCAGACAATCACCCACAACAATCTTAAGTAGTCACAGTCACCTGTCTCTGATACAGTATATGATTATTTAGTCACACAATTACATAATTACTAATGCCCAATGCAGGGGGCACACCCAAACACAGACAACCACACTAACATGGAATCAAACACCCTGATGGTGAAAGGTGTACAACCTCACCCAGACATAGACACATCACACCCACAGACACACAACCAGAGTTTGTGCACCACAAATGCATCACAAAAAAGGCAAAAAAATTTATCATGTACAACAAGGTGGTCCAGTGGTTTAGAAGCTGCCTTGCAATTCAGGGTACATGGGTTTGATCCCTGGTTGGGGAACTAGGATCTCACATGCTTTGGGGCAACTAAGGCTTGTTTCACAACTGCTGAGCCTGTGTGTGACAACTAGAGAGTCCATGCACTGAAACAAAAAATCCCACATGATGCAATGAAGATTCTGTGTGTAGCAACTAAGATGGAACCAGCCAAATAAATAAATAAAAAGATTTTCAAATCCCAAGAGTGGTGGGTGGACAAAAAAAAATAATGTAAAAGCCAGCTGGACAAACCCACTAGGATGGTTATTTAATATTTATTTGTATTTCTTTATTTATTTGGCTACCCCAGGTCTTCAGTTGCAGCATGTGGGATCTAGTTCCCCGACCAGATATCTAACTCCAGCCGTCTGCCTTGGGAATGCAGAGTCTTAGTCACAGGAGCAGTAGGGAAGTCCCTATGGCTATTTTTTAAAAAAGAAAAATAAGTATTGGTGGGGATGCAGGAAAACTGGAACCATTGTACATTGCTGGTGGAAACGCAAAATGATGCAGCTACTGTAGAAAACAGTTTCATGAGTCTTGAAAAAGTTCAACATGTTACCATGCTGCTGCTCACTCACTCAGTTGTGTCCGACTCTGTGCGACCCCAATGGACTGCAGCACGCCAGGCTCCTCTGCTTATGGGATTCTCCAGGCAAGAATACTTGAGTGGGTTGCCATGCCCTCCTCCAGGAGAGTTACCATATGAGGCAGAAATTTAACTCCAAGGTACATACCTAAAAGAGTTCAGAACAGGTACTGGAACAAGTGGGCTTCCCAGGTGGTGCTACTGGCAAAGAACTCACCTGCCAATGTAGGAGACATAAGAGATGTAGGTTCAATCCCTGGGTTGGGAAGATCCCCTGGAGAACTCCATGACAACCTACTCCAGTATTCTGGAGAATCCCATGGACAGAGGAGCCTAGCAGGTTATAGTTCACGGGGTCACACAGAGTCAGACATGACTGAAGCATCTTCCCACGCACTCATGCCCTGGAACAAATAATTGTACAGTAGGGTTCAGAGTAGCATTAGTTACAACCACCAAAAGGTGGAAACAACCCAAATGTCCATTAATGAGCAGATGAATAAACAAAAAGTGGCCCATCTGTGCAATGGAATATTATTCAGCCAGAAATGTAATGAAGTGCTAATACATGTTACAAGATGGATGATCCTCAAAAGCATGCTATGTTAAAGAAGACAGTTAAGAGGTCACGTTATATAATTCCACTTATATGAAATATCCAGAGTAAGCATATCCATAGAAACAGATGAGTGAATACATGTAAATCCATGGCTAATTCATTTCAATGTATGACAAAAACCACTGCAATGATGTAATTAGCCTCCAACTAATAAAAATAAATGAAAAAAAAAAGAAACAGATGAGTGGTTGCCAAGGGCTGGGGGGAGAAGGAAGTGGGGAGTGACTGCTTAGTGGGTACAAGGTCTCCTTTTGGGGGTGATGGAAGGGTTCTGGAACTATATAAAGGTGGTGGTTGCACAACACAATGAACATACTAAAAGCCACTGAATTGTGCACTTTTTTTTGACTGCTCTGGGTCTTCCTTGCTGCACTCAAGCTTTTGCTAGTTGCAGCAAGTGGGGGCTACTCTCTACCTTTGGTGCGAGGGTTTCTCATTGCAGTGGCTTCTCTTGTTGCAGAGCACAGGCTGTAAAGCATGCAGGCGCAGTAGTTGTGGTTCACGGGTTTAATCGCTCTATGGCATATGGAATCTTCCCAGACCAGGAATTGAACCCTTGTCCCCTACATTGACAGGTGGATTCTTAACCACTGGACCACCAGGGAAGTCTGAATTGTACACTTTATTTATTTATTTATTTATTTTTTAGTTCTACCACTTTATTGCTACCAACCCATCTCCCTCCACCCTTGTGCACACATGCTCAGTCATGTAACCCCACGGACTGCAGCCCGCCAGGCTCCTCTGTCCATGGACTTTTCCAGGCAAGAATACTGGAGTAGGTTGCCATTTCCTTCTCCTGAATTGTACACTTTAAATGGTTCATTTTAGAGGACTCCCTGGCTCCAGTGGTTAGGACTTGGCATTTTCACTGCTGTGGTCCTGGTTCAATGCCTGGTCAGGGAACAAAGATTCTGCAAGCTATGTGGTGCAGCTGCAGAAAAAAAAAATTCTTTTTATATTATGTGAATTTCACTTTATTCAAACAAAATGGTTGAAATTAGAGTGGTTTCCTGGAGAGGAAAGCAATCTCTCTTGAGGAGACATCTCCTTGATTTAGGATAAGGCACTAACAGGCATGTTTGGCTCTGGAAGGTGAGGCAAAAGGGTGAGGGTCCAGGGTGGGAGTACCAGGCCTCTGGGAGCATGTAGCCAGTACAGATGACAGACTTCCCAGGGTGACAAGGCCTAAGTGTAGATTTGGGCTTCCTAGTGTGCGTGCTGTCATCACCCTCTACATCCCCTGTGCGTCAGAGAACTCCAGTGCTCACAATGACCCCAGGGCAGGGAGCATTAGTCAAAGAACAGGATAGAAGGAGGAAGGCCACTGGCTCCAGGAGGAGGGGTGTCCAAAAGAATAAGAGCTATGCAGAATCCCAGACATTGCAGGGTGATGATGGACTCCCTACTGAGTGGGGAGGAGGGTTCAAATCATGGATATTAGAAGGGCCAGATACACCCAAGCCCCTTGGGGATATGCAGGCTAGTGATCAGATTCAGACACAGTCTCAGTTACTCCCATCATAGTCAGAGAAAATGTGTGAGACACAGCATTCTACACACAGACATGTGGGAAGGGGTGTTCCTGGGTGGGCAGGGGAGGGCCTGTCCTGGGAAGCAGGAAGACAGGATCCCGGGCCTGGTCCTTGTTCTGCACCTGGTCCATTTTTTAAAAATATAATTTTCTGGAATAGGAAATAGCAACCCACTCCAGTATTCTTGCCTGGAAAATTCCATGGACAGAGGAGCCTGGTGGGCTACAGTCCATAGGGATCACAAAGAGTCAGACACAACTGAGCACTTCCTTCTCCTCTCTATCCCCCTCTGCCTTTCTCTTCACTGATGCTTTGAAAATAAAAAGATAAAAGAAAAATACAATTTTATTTATTTAATTTTGGCTGTGCTGGGTCTTCATTGCTGTGTGGGCTTTTCTCTAGTTGCAGTGAGTAGGGCTATTCTTTGTTGTGTGTAGGCTTCTCATTGTGGTGGCTTCTCCTGTTGAGGAGCACGGGTTCTAGAGTGTGCTGGCCTCAGTAGTTGTGGTGTATATGCTCCGTAGTTGTGGTTCCCTGGACTCTAGAGCACAAGCTCAATAGTTGTGGCGCGTGCGGGGCCTAGTTGCTCTGCAGAATGTGGGGTCTTCCTGGACCAGAGATGGAACCTGTGTCTCCTGCATTGGCAGGTGGACTCTTTGCCACTGAGCCATCAGGGAAGCCCCTGCACTTGGTCTATTTTGATCTTAAGCAAGACCATTCTGCTTTCCGGACCTCACTTTCCACAGCTGGAAAATGGACAGGTCATAGTAGGTGAGTGGCTTTCAGACAGAGATGGTCAAGCGCGATGCATCCAGATTCAAAAGCACACCACATGTATGCTCATAAAAGTGATCTAGGTAAGCATAGCCACTCACTCAGGCAGACACTCAAGCTCACAAACACAACACAGAAACAAAATCACAGTGACACATATACATATAGACAATCCCACATGCACACACACAAATATCTAGTCACATTCTCCCGAATATAACAGCCACATTTACAAAGAAAGCCATCAAAACAGTCATGCACATAGTACCACACAGACACGTGATTACACAGAATACCATTACGTAAGTTTACAATTAGACAAGAAACCACAAAGACATTCAGCTACACAGACACAGTCACAGACAGACACACAACTGCCCATAGTCAACAGCCCACAATGTCACAGAAACAGTCAGCTCCACTCACATACAGACTCATAGTCACATAGGCTCAATCAACTGCACAGAATCACAAAGGATGGGAAATCACTTATAGTAGGGCTTCCCAGGTGGCGCTAGTGGTAAAGAACCAACCTGCCAATGCAGGAGTCAAAGAGACGCGGGTTCGATCCCTGGGTTGAGAAGATTCCCTGGAGGAGGGCATAGCAACCCACTCCAGTATTCTTGCCTGGAGAATCCCCATGGACAAAGAAGCCTGGCGGTCTACAGTTCATAGGGTCTCACAGAGTCGGACACAACTGAAGCGACTTAGCACGCACGCACAAGCTTCCTGGGACAAACTGGCAGTTTGGGCTGAGATCGTCCACCTGAGCCTACCTCCTCTCACAGAACCCCATTAAAGGACACCTCGAGATCTGGGCTGGTGATTTCTAGTACTCATTTTCTCGAGCCTCAGCTGCCCGTTTTAACTCCAGAATCTCTCGGCACTCGCCCCCTACAACTGACCAACCAAGAGTGGGCCGAGCCCCCTCCTAGGGCCAATCAGAGCAGGAATACAGCGGGCCAATCGGATTGACCCGCTCGCCTTCCGCCCCCATACCGGTACTTCCGCTCCTTAAAGGGGGTTAAGGTATCTAGGCTAGACGCGCCCGCTTCCATCGGCAAGGCTGCCGTGGCCCCTTTAAAAGGCAGAGACGTGAAAGAGCAGGGTCCTAGGACGAACCAATGACAAGCCCCTTTGGCCTCTGCCCCGCCCATCCCCACAGAAGGTCAAAAGTCCTGTTCTGTGGCACTGTGGCCTGTGCAGTGAACCCAGAGGCTCCAAGGTTCAGAGGCTCCAAAGTTCTGAGGCTCCAAGTGAGGATTCGCGAGAGGGGCAGAGGGTGCAAAGGACCAGGGCACTTGGTGGGAGCCGCTCTGCTCAGAAGCCTCCAAATCCCCAGGTCGGCTGTGATTGTTCTGCTTGCCCGCTCGCTGCCCACATGGCCCTGAGAGGCGTCTACGCGCGGCTACTGTACCGCGGACCTGGCCTACTAGTCTTTCGTTCATGGAGCTCGGCGACAGCGCAGACCGGTCAGTGTTGGACCTGGGGTGGAATGGGGAGGAAGAAACTTGAGGCTCGGGGACTTTTTCGGGGTGATTTTCCCGTCCTGTGTTTGCAGAGAAAGGCGAGAAGACCCAGAGTCGATCGGCCAAGCGTAAGGACCCCTGGTTGCGCCGTGCGTCTGCGCCCCTCGTCCAACTGTCCCCTCGTCCAACTGTCTGTCTGTCCCCGATGGGTTCTGTCCCAGAATCTGAGGGCTGACCAGGCGGGGAGGCAGGGCCGTGGCCAGGGCCAGAGGCGCTGAGGCAGTGAGTTTCCCGAGAAAGACCACTTTGCCAGTCCTGTTTGCTGCCCACATTAGTTGAGGGTTGAGGGGTGGGGCTGAGGATTCTGGGGGAGGGGAGGGCGTGGTGGTCGGGTGGACAGGGCTGAGTAGAGTCCCACTCCCTCCAACCCCGCCCAGCTTCGCGGCCTGAGTTTGACTGGAGGGATCCACTGTTGCTGGAGGAGCAGCTGACAGCAGATGAGATCCTCATCAGGGACACCTTCCGCACCTACTGCCAGGAGCGCCTCATGCCCCGCATCCTGCTGGCCAATCGCAACGAAGGTGCTCAGGCAGGCGGGTGGGCACTCTGGAGCTCCCACTGCCACCTGAACCTGTACCCCCCATCATGCACACCAGTTCTGCCTGCTCTAGCTGGGCCTCAGAGCACCTCTGGCTCTGGGCTAGTGCTCCAGAGGGCCAAGGCTGGGCCTGAAGTTGAGCTGTCTGTCCCTTTGCAGTTTTTCACCGGGAGATCATCTCAGAGATGGGGGAGCTCGGTATGCTGGGCCCCACCATCCAAGGTAAGGACACATTTCTCTCCATATTCTGCAGCCCTCCACTGTGTCTTGAAAAGCCCCTTTCTTTCCCTGAGCCTAGTTTCTCAGTCTGCAAAGAGAGGCTGTTATGTCTCTGTCTGAAGCAGCTGTGGGGATGAAATGAATAAACCCTCAAGCTACAGCCAGCTTGGTGCCCTCTCCTTGGGTACTCCTATGGGGCTGTCTCTTGGGCAACAGAAATCACTGGTCTCAAGTGGGCAGGGCTTTGTTCCCCATTGTTCTATTTCTCTCCCCTCCTGCCCGCCCCCCAACCCTGGCCCATCCTCACCAGGGTATAGCTGTGCTGGAGTCTCATCAGTGGCCTATGGGCTCTTGGCCCGAGAGCTGGAGCGAGTGGACAGTGGCTACAGGTCAGCAATGAGTGTCCAGTCTTCCCTTGTCATGCACCCTATCTACGCGTATGGCAGCGAGGAGCAGAAGCAGAAATACTTGCCCCGGCTGGGTGAGCAGCTGCCTGGGGAGCCTGGTGGACAGAAGACGGTGCCAATGATCTGAAACTCAGGGTCAGGGCTGTCCCTCAGGCCTGCCTTATGTTCTCACCTTAAGGGTATTGCCAATGGCCCCTCAGGCCCCCTGCCAGACCCTGGACGCCCCCCCCGCCCCCGGCATCTGATTCTCCTGGGTCTCTCTTGACTCTGCCCCTTTCTCACCACCATCATATACCCTGTGATTTGCTTTCTCTGCTCCCCATTGCAGTCCAAAGTTTAAAGTCTTAACTTCCCAACTGGGTCCACAAGCCCCCACATGGGCAGGCCTCTGCTGACCTTTCCAGCTCATCGCTGACTACTCTCTTGACTGCTCCTTTGCAGTCAGACTCAGCGGCTTGGAATTCTCAGTTGTACCCCTGGACTTTTGCACATCCTGGTCTCACTGCCAGGACTGCTCTTTTGCATACCTCTTCCTGCTTAACTCCTTTTCACTGCCCTTCAAGACAGTTTAGCCAACCCCTTCCCAACTCCTGTTTGGACCTCCCCCCATTATGGCATTGTGACTATGACCTGGGTGAGATATCTGTTCCCCCCACCTCCTGGGAGTGCCATGAGGGCAGGGTCAGGTCTGCCTTGGCCTGGCTCAGTGGAAAGGCCCGCAGTTTTCAGTACAGGGTTTGGATGGGGGACCCGCAGCCTCATGATCTCGTCTCATGCCTGCAGCCAAGGGGGAGCTTCTGGGCTGCTTTGGGCTCACGGAGCCCAACCACGGGAGTGACCCTAGTGGCATGGAGACCAGAGCCCGCCACAACCCATCCAACAGGAGCTACACCCTCAATGGGTCCAAGACCTGGTGAGGCAGGAGCCTGGGGGCCTTAGGCAGGTGGGCAGGGGCAGTAGGTAATGGCCAGATCCCTCACTGCCTGTCCTGCTTCCAGGATCACCAACTCACCTGTGGCTGACTTGCTGATAGTATGGGCTCGGTGTGAGGATCACTGCATTCGGGGCTTCCTGCTGGAGAAGGGGATGCGGGGCCTCTCAACCCCCAGGATTGAGGGCAAGTTCTCTCTGCGGGCATCATCTACAGGGATGATTATTATGGATGACGTGGAAGTGCCAGAGGAGAATGTGCTGCCTGGGGTGTCTGGTCTGGCGGTAAGCAGCAGCCACCTTGGGAACTGATATCAAGTCACCTGCTGCTTCTCTTTTCTTGGGCAGGCCCCTTGCTAGGGACCCAGCTGGGGAACAGATACCCATGGAGCCCAAACAGTAGTGACTTGGAGAGGCTCTGCCTGGCTCACTGATGTGTGCTCAAACTGCCCCCCTCTCCTTTTTAATTTTTAGCTGTGCTGGTTGTTCATTGCTGCATAGACTTTGGTCTAATTGCAGTGAGCAGGGGCTACTGTCTAGTTGTAGTGTGTAGGCTTCTGTAGTTGTGGTTCCTGGGTTCTAGAGCACAGGTTCAATAGTTGTGCACTGGCTTTGTTGCTCTGTGGCATGTGGGATCTTCCTGGACCAGAGGTCAAACCTGTGTGTCCTGCATTGGCAGGTGGATTCTTTACCACTGAGCCACAAGGGAAACCCAAAACTGCCCCATCTTGGTGACCATCTCACTCAAGCTGGCTCGGCCCGGGATGCAGAGAGGCCTGAACCAACTTAATTCTGCTTGCATGTGCATCTTCCTGTCTCCTTATCTCAGACCCTAGATCTGAGCCTCCGGTCCAGATCTTGGACTGGGGAGAACTGTATGAAAACCAAGAGTGAGTAGGCAAGAAGCGAAACCCTATGTGCATTGTTGGCTTTGATGCCAAGGCCATGTGTGACTTCAACAGTTGTGCAGAGTCTCCCTGGTTTACACTGACTGTGTATCAGGGGTGTCTGGGGAGGGGCACTTAAAAGTTAGTTCTCTACAGGTTCTCTCATCTCTTGGTGGAGCTGAGGCCCTGTCTCAACCCTACAGGGCCCCTTCGGCTGCCTAAACAATGCCCGCTATGGCATCACATGGGGTGTGCTTGGAGCTGCTGAGTTCTGTTTGCACACGGCCCGGCAGTACACTCTGGACAGGTCTGTGGGGGCTACCATGACAACTCCCAGGGGTGTGAAGGAGGGGAGGCTCGGGCTCCATCACTTACCCCTCCACCCTTGGCGCTCAGCCACCAGATCTAAGTTCCCTGCTCTGTGAATTGGCTGAGGAAGTCCTTCTGAGCAGTGAGGGGCTCAGTCAACAGCAGGGCCAGAGTGAGCTGAGTAGGGACACAGCTCACTCTGGAGCAGCCTGAAAAGGCCCTGGGATAGGACTGGGGAGTGCCCTCCACCCCATAAGATTTGCCTTGACCTTGCCTGCATAGGATCCAGTTTGGTGTCCCACTAGCCAAGAACCAATTGATTCAGAAAAAGCTGGCGGACATGCTCACAGAGATCACACTGGGCCTTCATGCCTGCCTGCAGCTCGGCCGCTTGAAGGATCAAGACAAGTAGGGGCTCTGTGTGTGGGAAGGGGCAGGGGGCTATGGCAGGAGGACCCGGTGCCTCTTCCAGGCATGGTGGTGGTTGGGCCTGGAGAAAGATGCCCGGTGCCTCTTCCTGCCTGGTGACCCTGGGGACCCCGCCCTGCCTACCTCTCCCTCACTGGGAGCCATGTATGCTACTGTGATGTAACCCTCCTCCCTGGCTGGCTTTGCCCGTGGGGTAGGGATGCCTGGGTGCCCGGAGCGGGTCAGTTCTTTGTAACCCAATGTTTGTGACATCTGTTCTGTTCCCAGGGCTGCCCCGGAAATGGTCTCTTTGCTGAAGAGGAATAACTGTGGGAAAGCCCTGGACATTGCTCGCCAGGCCCGAGACATGCTGGGGGGGAATGGGATTTCTGATGAGTATCACGTGATCCGGCATGTCATGAACCTGGAGTCTGTGAACACCTATGAAGGTGGGGGCTGGATTCTTGGGGGGTGGGGGGGGGTCACAGTGGCCTCACATCTGGGGAAGGGGACAGCAAGGAGGGGCAGGGACAGCAGGCTCAAATCCTGCTGTCAGCTGTCTGTCACCAGTTGGCAGCATGATGTGGGGCAAGTCCCACCCTCGGTCCTGCATCTGGAGTGGCCCACAAGGGGACCATGGAAGTATACACTCCCACATTTCCCCCATTATGCTCGAGGAAGGATGTTCTGAAGCCCACTTACAGCTTACTCGGGCATCCACAGATGGGGGCACAACACCCAGTGGGCTGGTGAATTCAAGGAGGTGAGTGTGCAGCTACACACAGGAATCAGCACTCCATTTTATGTGAGAAAAAGAGAGAGAAACGGTAAATCATTGGCAGGCTGTGGTGTTTGCACCTGGTAACTGGTTGTGACTCCTGTGGGGCCCAGAACCCCTTGCCTCATAGGAAGACAGACATAGAAAAAGATAATTAAAAAGAAAAAAGATGTGGGGACTCCCTGATAGTCCCATGGTTAGGACTTGGCGCTTCCACTGCGGTGGCCTGGGTTTAGTCCTTGGCTGGGGAATTAAGATCTCACAAGCCAAGTTGTGGCCAAAAAAAAGAAGAGAGATGTACAATTCTAGTGTGAGCCACACAGACTAGAGGGAGCTATAACAGGACTCAGTCTCTGAGGGAGAAAGTGGAACCATATTAAGCCTTGAGGGAGGTGTAAGAGTTCCCTGGGCAGAGACGGAAGTTGCGTCCAGTGCCGTCTGGGTGGGGCATTCCAGACAGCAAAGGGGAGGGGGAGGGGATTCTACGGCATGACAGGGACCCTGAGGACAAGCTGAGGGGACCTCCAGATGGTTTTATGCAGGGGAGGGGGCGGGATAGATTTGCACGTTAGGAAGAAAAGAGAATTATATTGCTCCATAAAAAGGAGGGCATAATCTCTGGTTTCTGCCTTGGGAAGCTAAGGAAGAACAGATGAGAACATGGAGGCCTGTAGAGTGTTCCCTTTGTGGATGTGGGGTGAGATGTGGGATGTGGGGCTTGGGGCAGTGGCTTCAGGATGAGGGGAGGCAGGGATCAGCTGGGACAGGCAATTAATTGTCTGATGTTTGCTTTCCTGTCCCTCCTGTGAGTAAGAAAGGGCCTGATCCATTTCCCACAGAGCTCATTAGCTTTTTCCACCTCTGCGGGAAGAAAGCATGGCTGGGTTGAAAATCAAACATTTAATCAACTGTGTGGGGTTGGGGTGGGGTGAATCTGGGAGAGTACCAAAGCTGGGCCCCGTGGTGGGGGCTGGACTTGCTGTGGTTTGGGGCCTGGCACAAAGAGCATCGGTTGGGTTTTGTTTGCTTGTTTTTGCCAAAGAAGCATTGCAAAACTCTGAAAAACAATTTTCTCAGCATGGCCCAAATGGTGGCCTTCCTTGGTGGCTGTCACTAAGAGGGGCTCTCCTGGTAGCTGTCAGCATTCGCCATCTTTGTGAATCTGTTCTTCTTCCAGAGTAGTAGCCTGTGGGGGGACATGAAGAGTGACTTTAAAAGGAATTTGTGGGGGATTTCCCTGGTGGGCCAGTGGTTAGGACTGTGCACTTCCACTGCAAGGGACACAGTCAGGGAATTAAGATCCCTGGTTGGGGAACTAAGATCCCACATGCCATGTGGCACATCCAACATAAATAAGCAAAATTTTTTAAAAAATAAAGGGAAATTGTGAGCTGTTAAGACTGCACACTGACTCTGCATTTATTCACCCAGGCACGCATGACATCCACGCTCTGATCCTCGGAAGGGCTATCACAGGGATCCAGGCATTCGTGGCCGGCAAGTGAACCCACTTCACCTGGGAGCCCAGATGGCACCAAACCCTTCTCCAGGGAGACACAGGGCTTGGAGCTTAGTTGGAGAGGTGGCAGATGGAGCCAGTTCTTCTGGTGGGAAGTGAGAGACACTGATTTTTAAATATCAAAATTTCCCTTTTGAAGTCACTCAAATGTGTTCCTTAAAGAGAAGATGGAACTTTCTGTACTGAGTGTCTCAATCCAGTTTTGACCATAGATGGGCAGGGACTCTACCTGCCTTGGAACAGAAGCTCCTTGACAGGGGAGCAGGGACAGGGGAGGAGAGTGACATGGAAGCAACTTGTGAGACCTACCAGTGGTCTAAGTGAACTGCTCCATCCACACGGTAAGCGTTCACTCTGTACCCTCTGACCCTCCCATCTGGGGGCAAGTGCCTTAATGCTGGACGCTGGAGCAGAATGAGTGATAAAGAGAGAGAATAATAAAGAGTGTGCGTGTCTGACCCCACCGTGTTGCATCACATTTTCTAGTAACCAGTAACAGGAAAAAGGAACACGTGAAAGGGCTGTGAAGTGTGCTGGGACCCAGCAGGGATTTCCCCAGCCCAGAAGTGATCTGGACCATGTCGGAGTCTTGGGCTTGGCTGTAATAAATAAACTCAGGTGGGCACTGCCAGGGCGAGGGGCTGAGGGCAAAGGGGACTTTGTCCTTTTTGTCACCCACCACAGAGCTGACGCACAGTGTAGGAAATAACAGTCCGGCTTCTCAGCTCGGACACACCACATAACAGGGGAGCATGGGGCCATGAGTAGGACGGCCAGGGCACCAGGGCCTTTGCAGAGATAGTGGTTCCTGTGGGGTTTAGGGCCAGGCCGATGCTGCTCTCTGTTGATATTTACTTCAAAAATAAATTTTTTTTTTTCTGGCCGTACCTCATGGCATGTGGGGTCTTAGTTCCCCGACCAGGGACTGAACCCGTGCCCCCTGCATTGGGACCATGGAGTCTTAACCACTGGACTGCCAGGGAAGTCCCTGCTGACATTTACTTTCATCTTAGCCCCTACAACTCTCATACCTCAGGCTGGACACACAGGTCTTTGTACACGGTCTCCACAGTGTGGCACACTTGTTTGAGCTCTGTTTCCAGGTGACTGATCTTTGCCATCTTTTGGGTGAACTCTTGGAGCTTTTCCTGGATGATCTTGTTGTGGTGATTATAAATCTGATACATCCTCTCCTCGAGCTTCTCTGTCAGATCTGAAACCTTTGAAAGAATAAGAGGTGCTCTTAGAAAATCAAACAAGAGGCATCACAAGACATTTGTTCTGACTGGTTCTTTAAGATTTCTGCAGTTTATCTTATAAAAGTGGTAAAAACAACTCTGGTGACTGGGAGTAAAATGGCCTATATGTTAAATTTTTCTTTTCTTTTTTTTAATGAGAAATATTTTCAACTTTATTCATCTCCAAAGAGTGATTAAAAACATGATTCAGGGGACAGTAAAAGGTCAAATAAAGTGGAAGAATGTGACTTTACATATATATATTATATATATTACATATATGTATTTTATATACTACATATATAATTATATAACTTATAATTATATATGTGTAGTTATAGTGATATAATTATTGCATATTTTATTATATAATTATATGATAAATTATGTGATCGTATAACATAAATTATAATTATATTAAATTATATATTATATATTGCATATATAATTATATATTACTTATAATATATATATATGGAGAAGGCAATGGCACCACACTCCAGTACTCTTGCCTGGAAAATCCCATGGACGGAGGAGCCTGGTGGGCTGCAGTCCATGGGGTCGCTAAGAGTAGGACACGACTGAGCGACTTCACTTTCACTTTCATGCACTGGAGGAAATGGCAACCCGCTCCACTGTTCTTGCCTGGAGAATCCCAGGGATGGGGGAGCCTGGTGGGCTGCCGTCTATGGGGTCGCACAGAGTCGGACATGACTGAAGTGACTTAGCAGCAGCAGCAGCATTATATATATATGTATTAGTGTAACCTTATCCCAGATCATTTTTCTTTTTAAAAAGAAAGGTGCAAAATTATGTAAATAAACTCAGCCTGGTTAGGAGGAACATATCTAGAATGGAGACTAGAGGAAAACATGCAACAAAGTGGCCTCTCAGTGATGGTATCATCTGAATATTTTTATCTTTTTTTCCTGCTACGTCATATTCTTCTCTAAATTTGCTATGTACCAGGTAGGTAGGAATGGGGCTGAGGGAGGAAGTCAGCCTGTCGTCTAGAGATGACATGTGGAATTCACAAGTTGTCTGACTTACAGGACACATTCTGAAGACACATCGGGGACAACTACTAATAACAGACCTGAACATAACATTAGATTTTGTTAGACATAAGCCCCAGCCATGTTCAGGGACTTCCACTTTCCCAAATCATGTGACTTCTGGAGGACAAGTGGGTGTGATAACTCAGGTTATGCCTCAATCCCCTCCTGCCACAGCCATTAGCCCAGCATGAAGGTAAGGGACTAGTCTGTGATACAGGTGAACCTTGGCTTTTCATCCTGGCTCTCCCACTCAGGCAAATTATTTCCAAACCTTACTTTATCCATCTGCAACATGGGTCTAATCTCTTCTCTGCAGGATTGCTACAAGGGTGAAATGAGGTACCATATGCAAACTGTACAGAACGTGTGGGGAACATAACAGCAGTCTTGCCTCCTCCTTTATGTTTTACATAAGGAACACCCCCTCCCTTTCCCTGGGGTTCTGCAGTACGTGGGGGGAATCAGTCACCTTGATCTTGAGGCTGTCTCTGAAGTTGGTCATGAGGGCATGGTCCTTCTGCCTGCTCTCGTTGATGTTTTCGATCAGCTCCTGGGTCCTCTTCTTCAGGATGTCAATGCTCGAGTCCAGAGAGGAAAAGTAGGGTCCTGACTTTCCTTCCAGCATCATCAGCTGGCGATTGGCACTGGAGGTGGCGACAGAGGGGCTAGAAACCTGACTTCTGCAAGTATAGGAAACTTGAGATCAGCACCAAACTTTCCTGAGAATGGCTGATCTGAATTAGCTCTGTGGTGGGAGAACCTGCATCTTGTGTTTTCCGTTGGTGACACTTATTTCATTAACACCCCCTCCCCCACCCTGCCCCTGTGGGGAAGGGACAGTTTAAGAGTCTGCCTGCCAATGCAGGGGGACATGGGTTCAATCCCTGCTCTGAGAGGATTCCATGTTCTGTGGGGCAACTAAGTCTGTGCACCCCAACTACTGAGCCTGGGCTCTAGAGCCCGTGCAACCTAGAGTCGAGCTCTGCAACAAGAGAAGCCACCATAATAAGAAGTCCTCGAACCACACCTAGAAAGTAGCCCTCCCTCTCCCCAATTAGAGCAAGCCTATGCATAGCAACGGAGACCCAGTGTAGCCAAAAATAAAATATTTTTTAAATAAAAAAATTAAAATTAAAAAAAAAAAACCCAGAAGAGTTTGTCCCACACTGTGTGTGCTAAGTCACTTCAGTCATGTCTGACTCTTTGCAACCCATGGACTGTAGCCTGCCAGGCTCCTCTGTCAATGGGATTCTCCAGGCAAGAGTACTGGAATGGGTTGCCATGCCCTCCTCCAGGGGATCTTCCTGATCCAGGGATCCAACCCACGTCTCTATGTCTCTTGCACTGGCAGGAAAGTTCTTTACCACTAGTGCCACTTAGGCACTAATGCCACTTGGGTACTGTACAAATGACTATAATTACGCAATTCAACTAAATGCATAGTTAGTGAAATAGTGAAAAAAGGACAGCTGTCTAAAAAAGCTAAATAGAATGAACAAAATTGAACCTAATAAAATACAACTGTTAAATCAAGTGTGGGCAAACAACGATATATTAGGGCCAAGAGCATAAAAATTTAAAGTATTTTGTCGAGGCCTATAAGTTTTTGCTTTGCTTTAGAAAAACAAAAGTGGGGGACTTCCCTGGTGGCCCAGTGTTTAAGACTCTGTGCTCCCAATGCAGGGTGCTGGGTTTGATCCCTGGTCAGGGAACTATTGATAGATTCCACATGCTGCAACAAAAGATCCTGAGAGCCACAACTAAGACCCAGCCCAGCTAAAAGAAAAGACAGTAAAATAAATAAAAACACAAATGTGGAAACTGTGGGTAATGCATTATGAATGAGGTGTATGCAAGGAAAAAAAAAAGTTGTGATCTGATCAACAGACCCATTGGTGTTTTAAATTAAGATAAAATGTTTAAAGGGCTTCCCTGGTGGTCCAGTAATTAAGTATCAGTTTGGCAATGCTGGGGAACACCGATCCCATATGTTGTCAAACAACTAAGCCTGAGGGCCACAACTATTGAGCCTGTGCTCTAGAGTCCAAGAGCTGCAACTATGGAAGCCTGTGTACCCTAAAGCCGGTGCTCTGCTACAAAAGCCACTGCAATGGGAAACCCACACACCACAACTAGAGAGTATCCCCTACTCACTGCAACTAGAGAAAGCCTTCATGCAGCAATGAAGACCCACCACAGCCAAAAAATAAATAAATCTTTTTTTTAAAAAGATAAAAGGGTTTAAGGTAAGATGCTCTTTTTTTTCAGCCAATTTTTTATCTGCCCTACACCATGCTAAGCTACCCGCTTCATCTTGCTGCACCCTCACACCACGCTTTAGGGTCTGTCCCCATCGTCTTTACCTCATCGCTGAGGACACAGGCTCAGCACGACTGTGTCACTTTCTCAGGATCCCCAGTCTGTGCAGACCTGGGTGTGGCATCCAGCTGGCCTGACCCCCGGCCTGGGCCCTGCTTCCCCCAAAGTTCTCGTTTCTCTCCTCACCCTGAGGTGCTCCAGCTCTGAATGGCTGAGACTTGGAGGTGCCAACACAGCAGCTCTTCCACACACCAGTTCACACAAAACCATAAAGCCATGACTGCAAGCCAGGCACAGCTACTGAGAAAACCACATCTTCATTTTTGGATGCTTCCTCCATACAAATATTTTTCTTGGCTTTTCTCCAACTGCTTGAGCTCTTTCTTCTGGCTCAGGATACAACCACAGGGAAACTTGAGTGCATGAGAGTTAGGGGGGCCAGACTCTCATTGACACAGAAGTCCTAAGGCCTGAGACCCTGGCTGTGTCCTGGTTCTCAAGTTCTCCTTATCAGATGGGTTTTTGCCCTTGGGCCTTTGCACTTGCTCTCTGACAGGGAGACCTAGCCTAGGCCACTACCTCTTTTGTTTTTAATATTTATTTATTCATTTTATTTTTGGCTGTGCTGGGTCTTTGCTGCTGCACGTAGACTTTCTCTAGTTGCGATGAGCAGGGCCTACTCTCTAGTTATGGTGTGTGGGTTTCCCATTGTGCTGGCTTCTCATTGCAGAACACAAGCTCTAGGCACTTGGACTTCAACAGTTGAGGTACAAGGGCTCAGTAGTTGTGGCACATGAGCTGAGTTGCTCCCTGACATGTAGGATCTTTCTCGACCAGGGGATTGAACCTTTGTCCCCTGCATTGGCAGGTGGATTCTTAACCACTGAGCTACCAGGGAAGCCCCCGCTGCCTCTTTTGAAGCACCGCCTATGACCCCGTGCCTATCTCTACCACTGTGTGCTTGTCCCTGATACCGCTCTCATCTCCCCATTTATCTCTGCATTCCCAGCATCCAGTACATTTTGAGTCCTCCACTATTAACAAATGAATGAATGAAGGACACTGATCTAGTTCTCCCTATTCTGGCTTTACACAAAGCATGCAAGTTCATCTGTCTGCAGAGCCAGAAGCTTGTGTTCAGAGCATCTGTCACAAATGCTCTGTGTTCAGGCACTCATGAGAAGGTGTGCCTCTGATCAAGGCAGATATTTTATAGCAAAACCTTATTGATAGAAAACAAAGACCACTTAAAGGCTCCCTGGGCATTCCTGTAAAAAAAGGTTTTGCTGTCCTCTTGACCTGCCTCTCATGAGAAGAATAATAAAAGTGCATAGAATAAATGAATGAGTGATTAGGAAGGGCTTTCATTACCATCCACGCTCCCATGTTTCCCAAACTTATCCTCAACCCACGCCTCTCCTCTGAGCTCCCAGTAAGGTACCTGACGACCCCCAGGCCCTCTCCACTTGGCTGTCCCAGAGGCATTTCAAACTCCTCTAAATTTACACACCAACTCAAAGTTGTCGGTCCTCCTCCTGTCATTGAAGAACACCAAAAGTCACCTGGTACCCAAGCCAGAAACTTGGCAGCCACCCTGGAGCCTGGCTTCTCTCCGTCCTTCCAAATCCCCTCACAAAATCAGACTTCTCTGGTGGTCAGGTGGTTAAGAATCTGCCAATGCAGAGGACACGAGTTCGACCCTGGTTCTGGAAGATCTCACATGCCATGGGGCAACTAAGCTCCTGCGCCTCGACTACTGAAGCCCACGTGCCCTAGAGCCTGTGATCCACAAGAGAAGCCACAGCGCTACACGAACAGTAGCCCTTGCTCATTGCAACTAGAGAAAGCCTGCATGAGGCACCAAAGACCCAGTGCAGCCATAAATAGATAAATTTCTTAAAAAATAAAAGATTTTTTAAAAAACCAACAAAAACAAATCCTGTCACAAAATCAGACTAGCCTGGTGCTCCAGTGCTTAACAATCTACCTGCCAATGCAGGAGACAAGGGTTTGATCCCTGGCTCGGGAAGATCGCTCGTGCCCTGGGGCAACAAAGCCCCAGGGCCACAACTACTGAGTCTGCTCACCTAGAGCCCAAGCTCCAACACAAGAAAAGCCCAGGCACCATAGGAAGAGTAGCCTCTGCTCTCCACAACTAGCGAAAGCCTGTGGGAAGCAACGAAGACTCAGCACGACCTAAAATAAATTAATTTTAAAAGAATCCAGTCACAAAATCCTTTCATTTCCACCTCCTAATTTCTCCCAAATCTATCATCTCTTCCCCACCAACCATTCGCAGCCCCACACCTATAGTTCTCACTTGGGCCTCAGGGACCTTTGAACCACAATCAGACACCACTTCTGCTCTATAGTCTACAAGACCCCCCACCAGCTGCAGGATCAAGTAAATTCCCTAGCACAGCACACAAGGCTTTCCAGGGCTGTGGAAAGGCCTCCATCTTCTCTTTTCACCCTCCACTTCCAGCAATTTGGAATCTTCCACAATTTCACCAAATCCATTAGCCTTTGCCTGAAATGACTTTTCTTTTCTGTCAACTTCATGAGACAGCATTCAGAGCACCGCTACCTCGCCGTCGCTTACTCATCACAACACTGCCAGTTTGTACGCAGATTCCCTCCAGGCGCCCTATGCACTCTGGGCAGAGAGTGCATTGTATTCATTCCAGAGGCATCACCACTGTTCCCTGAACACCTAAATGAAAGAATTACCGCCTGAGATGGATGTAACATTCTTGCTCTTAAGCCACTTTGTACCCGGAGTTGCTCTGTTGTCCCCACTGTATAAGGGCTCTGAAATTAAAATCAATGAGAGAACCAGGTGTTTCTTTTTTGTGTCATTGCTCACAACCTGCTTGAGCTGCTAACTGTTCAAAGTCGCTCCTTTCTCAGGCTCGAGGGACGAAGCTGGAACCGGTCTCCGTGGCAGCTACACAAATGGTGAAAAATCACTTGAAATTGGCTCATTCAAATTTCGTGGTGGGACAAAGGCCTGCATCAGATGTCTGCAGAGAGCATCTTGATTTTCCCCAGCCTCCCCTTTGGGGTTTTATTCCTTTCCATTTCATTTTTCTTAATACTCAGCAGCTGCATATTAATCAGGATGCTAATGAATCATAGGCTTCCCTGGGCCTGCATTCACCAATTAACTTTAATAAACAAAACACACCATGTCCTCTCCACTGGCTTCCCTGGTTCTCAGGCCTGCTTCTGTTGCCCAACCCTGGATGGAGGCCAGGGACTGGAAGTGAGCCCAACAGAGCAGGCTGCCTGTGCTCAGGGTGGGGCAGTGGGGGGCCAGGGTGGG